GACAAGTAGTGCTTTGTAACAGCTGGCTTCTCATGTGCCCAGCTCAGATTTACTTCTCTCTTAGAGCAGTCTCTAGGGTGGTGTGAACCCAGTTGCAACTGAGTAAAAAGATTTGCACTTACAGAATGAATTCAGGAGTTGCTCCAGAGGTTATGCCCCACTGTGCTCAGTTATTTTACATCAGGGTGACCTATGTCATCAGGAAGAGCTGCGTGAGCGTGGCTGGGCTCCATTTGGTGATGTTCTGGACACTTTACCATATTGCCTCGTGCCCTTTTGTGACCACCCGTGATTTTTTGCCCATCAGTCCTGCTCTTGAGTCACGTGCACCAGATGTCACCATTCAAGCACTGGAGAACTGCTGGGTTCTACCTCTTCTATCTGCAAATGCTCAGATAGCGTAACAAGCCTGGCAAGCATATGGGGCATCATTTTCCAGCAAGCCCTGTACTATATCCAGCCATTATACTTACAGATGACCCCATACTAAATTCTTAGATTTTCTTGCCCTCTAGGCAGAGGCAAAGATGAATTCCTGATACCCAGAAAACACATATCCAGCACTGTCCTGTTCACACAACAACGAGCTGAATGGTATTAGCCAGCTCCTTCTCAGAGTTCATCCACAGCAAAGCAAGAGGCTGAGGAGAGAAAACCCAGGACTCCTAGTAGAGGACAGCTGAGGCAGCCAGGGGTGCCTTGCTTCAAAGGTGCTGCTTAGACAAAAAGGATGCAAGAATCTTACCCTCAGCCCCACAGCTAGTTGGCCACTGTCCTGAGAGCCCTTTGGCTATGGCCACACTGCAGAGCAGGGTAAGCATCACAGTGTGGGCTTTTCATTTAAGTATTTTGTATTGCCTGGGGAAATGTATAGGCAGTTTTTTACTTTTATTGCTCCTGCAGGACAGTGCCACATGGAGCAAAAACTTCCCATTCTCAGTTCTCAGTTTGCTGGGCAGGCTCCAAACAGTAGCATCCATCAGTGAAAATGCTGCCTTTCTTTCCTCTGGCTCCCTGAAGAGATTACACCCCCAACAGCCAATATTTTAGGTCTACAGCAATTGATTTTTCATGATTGTCCCTCCTGCTCCCAAACTCCTACTCATCCTCCATGACATGCCCAGTCGAGCCCAGAGCTATTTCAAAAAAACAAAACAAAACAAAGCAAACCCACCGTACAATGTCCTTACAAAGATTTGCTCAGCTCTTGTATAGTTCTAGCACAAGCAGTGTGGTGCATTTTGATCATGCAGAGAATTAATTCAGAAAACTGGTTAACCATAAGTCTTAAGAAGGTTTTCTTTGTAGTAAATCCTTTGTCAGTGTATTTGCAAAGCCACTATTAACAATATTGGGAAACAATATGAAGTATAAACCAGGCAATACTTTGCAAAGCACAGATGACAAAAAACAAACTTTCCTATCCCCTTGAATGCCTGAAGCCTATTGCAAACCTGTGTGAATGGCATAGGGAAGGTCAAGCATGTTCACCCAAGAAATTGTAGATGCAGAAAGTGCTGTTAAAGGTTGATACTTTTTAAGGGCTTTCTTGCCTTTTTTTAGGTTAGACACTTATGCTCATACAGCTCCATGAAACAGCCTTAGTTACCTTTCTGATCAATAGCAACACCGCACATCCCACTCAATTCTCACAGTTTTCACAAGCAGATCTGTTCTCTGCTGTTGTACCAGTCTCCTTCCTTACCTCCATTTTATCTTGTTTATTCTGATCATGCTGCTAATGAGACACTTGTTTCCTGACCTCTGGCCTCTTGACAGCCTCATGCAGCCCCTGTGATGTTAAATGAAATAAAGCACAGCAGCAATCCAGCAATCAAACCACTGAAACCAACCTCTGCAAGCTAGGTGGGCTTCATTAATACTTCTTTATTCTGGGCAGCACAGGAGGGAAGGAAGGAGAGTGGAGGTATCATGCCTGGTGTTTTGCCAAGATCAGAGTGGCGCTCCGGAGATGGTACACTGAAATTTGGTGGGAAAAAAACCTGTATCTTTGCACCCATGGTAACAAAGCAATAGCTGCTTAAGTTTCTTGATTCACAGGATCTGTAACTAGCATCAAGGTTTTCAAAGATGGTAATGTTAGCAGCTGTTCAACATCTGGCTAACCTAGATATTAAGAAGCAAGAAAAAAGAATTAAAATGATGCTGTTCTGAGGAGCTGGTGGAGTTTGTAAAGCTCAAAGATAGTTTGGGGGAAGAAGTCACTGTAGCAGCAAGAGAAGAAATGAAATGAAAAGAGCAAGAGACAGGAGATAATCTTGAGAGCGGAAGGGAAGGGCTTGGGAAGGAGCTGGGTTTGAGGAGCTCATCAAGGGGGGACTCACAACAAGGGAGCAGGAGCAGGTTCAGTCAGTCCAAAAGGATAATGGAAATGGGGATGTGACAGCAGTTCATGGAGACAAAAGCACACACCCATACTGGAGGCCAGGAACCTTCACAGCTTCTATTCATTACCTTCTTCATCCTCCAGCTGTGCTTCACTGCTTGCACGGTAAGGACTAGTCAGGATTTTGTTCCACTACAAGGGTACCTTGCCTTTTCCTACTGCTTTTTGCTATTAAAAATTCTTGGGCTTGTAAGAGTCTAGAAGTGATCGACACCCCGTGAATGCAGATAGGTTCAGATCTCCAAACTGAATCTTATCAGAAGTGCCATGGCTTTTTCTGCCCTGTAAGTGCATCACTTGAAAATGGTGGTCGTCATTTAGGCATGAGCACTCTGCAGCCTGAAAAGGGTGGATAATGGGATCTGTGTTATAATTTGACTTTCAATGGGGAACACAGGTATTCTTGGCTGGCTTTCTGTAGGGGACCTACCAGGCAGCGGGGAGAAGAATCCCGCAGTGTGTAGGTCTCTGAGCAGCACAGGAATAGCAGGCGCATATAATATCAAGGGCATACTTGGAGGATATCTCTGTCTTCTTGTGTGGAAGCAATGATACAGTGAAGTGAAAGCTTTGTTTAAATGCATCTACTTCATGGTAGGTACCCCAGTAAACACATGGAAGACTTGGTCCTTTTTGTAAATGAGCTACATAGATAGATAAAACTTTTGTCTTTGGTTAGAAACACTCCAGTGCGATCTGTTCTTGACAGAACTGTTAGCTGAGTCCTTCAATCCCTGTTTTCTTGGAAAGAAGAGGACATTTTTGGGAGTGTTCTCTTTAGCCTAATTTCTCCTTTTACTTGTGTGATGTTTGTTCCTGTAGAAGCAGCCACACACTGGGTGGCTGGAGTCTGTCCTTAACATCCCTCTGATGCATCCTCTTGAAAAGCATCACAGTGCAGTGGATTCAAAACATTGTATAACTCAATTCCTGTAGACACATGTGGCGGGGCTAAGAGTGGCAACTTTTTCTCTTTGATTCTCATGCAGTGCTAGAAATAAAGTAGTTTTAATTGCTTCATAGTCCTAAGGTGAAGTCTCCCATTAGCAACAGCTACTTAAAGCTACTTAAAGATGGTAACAGCAAGCACTTGAGTAGCACTTTCTGTCTTCCAAGTACTTTGCAGACATTCTTTACTTCTGAATTAAGGATGAGTTTCTGTCCTTTTCAACGCTTTTTCCAATGAGGTAAATGTTCAATCTGCTGTGGGAAAGAGGCAAAGGTAATGACTCCAAATTCTCCACTGGAATAGGGCCATGTTCTGCTGGTTTGTTTTCATGGTGCAAAGTGGCCCCAAAGGACATACGGCTGGTATTACTTCTGCTGGTGGAAATCTTAAGGCTATATGAAATCAGATGCCTGTAGTGCTTCTTGCCTTCAAACAGCTCATGTAGGGGGTTGGCTCCTGCCCACCCCATGTGCTTCAGCCCTGTGCACCATGCACGACGTGAGGGGCAGGGGTGTTGAACTGGCCCACAGGTGAGCTCCTGCCTCTGGAGAAGGCTGGGGATGTGTGTGCGTCTCTGAGCAGTGGCTCAGCCCCTGTATTGTGGGGACCTATTGTCAGACATCCCCCATCCAGTCGTGCAGAGACAGCCCTTTTTCAGTGAGCTTCTGCACCCCCAGTCAGGGGAAGCATTCATGGCAGAAGGTGAAGCCGTGCAGCCAGCCTTCATCTCATGTTTCTCACCAGTACCCCTTACCTCACATTGGAACTGATGAGCCAACTGGCAGAGGCTGGGGCCCCCAAGTTGGCATGTCTCTGAATGACCACGTCTGAAGGAAGAGGCTCTGTACTGTCACTGGCATCATTGACAGAACTCCCATTGACTCAGAGGAGAGTATGAGGAGGCCTAACAGTGTTGGCTTCTGATGTCATCTCCCTGATTTACTTTGTTTTCCAAAGACCCCTTTGTGCTTCTCTCCCTTGCTTTGTATTCTGAGTATTCAGACCATTTCCACACTCGGGGTCCCCGTTTTTAATTAGATTGCGTTCGTTGTGACCCTGTTACGTACAGGTTGACTGGCAAGTCACACAATCCTTCAGTGTAAGAGTGAATAAAAGCCACGGGAGGAGGAGGAGGGAGGCGAGGGTGCGGAGGAGGAGGGCTGCTATTGTTCTGCCCTGGGCGCTGCCAAACCATCCCTTGTTTTTGCTGCGGGCTGTCTGTGTGCTCCAGCGCTGTCTGAAACAAACGGGGCACAGTCAGGAGGCTGGCGAGAGGGCAGCGGGAGGGTTAGCCCCCTCTTAGCTGGGAATAACTTGCACGAGTCAGGAAGCAGGCATGGGAGGAAGGAAATTAAGTGGAGACATCTGTGTAGCTTAGCTCTCAGCAGCTCTGCCTGGGGTAGGGGTGGGAGAGTCATGCCTAAGATGACATAACGTATTTTGTCTTTTCATGAGCTGAAAACAGAGGAAACTGTGAAAGCGAAGCATGGTCTGTGTCACGCATGGTCCGGGGGTACCAAGTACATAATGGAGCAGTGTCAGTGCTTTCTGCTCTGCCTTTCACACCCCAAAATAACTCTTGAAGACAGAGAACTGAGGAGAATGTGATATGGTCCAAAAACTGATCTTGGACTTTTTTCGCAGACGACTGAGCCAGAGGCCGACTGCTGAAGAATTGGAGCAGAGGAACATTCTGAAACGTAAGTCTTGATGCTGCTGACACTTAACCTCAAGCCAGCTAGTTTGGGTTAGTTCAGATATATATTGGGTGGTTCTTTTATTAAAACATAAATTCTTCTGTACTTGCATCATTAATAATAATGAAGTGCATCATAAATGCAAATAAGCATGCAGGTCTGTAGCAACATCTGGAGCTGCAGAAACAATTCTTTAAAATCAGAGTCCGTAAATTCACAAGAATGAACAGTCTATGGGGGAAAAAAACCTAGATGTTGAATCTCTTTTGCAAGTCTTGTTCCAAACAGAGGGTACAACATCCTGGAAAGCCTTTATGCGGCTCTTAAACAGGATGAGCACCCCGTTATAAGTTAGTAAAGGGCATGGCTTGATTAGTTTTCCTAAAAATCTTCACAGCAACCTAGATTAGGTGGAACCTTTACTCAATTAAAAAAAGAAACCAATGAGACTCAGGATTCTTTCCCTGAAATGTTACCCTGAAACTCTGCCCTTAAATCAGCCAAAATCTTCCTGGTAGGTCCTCAAAATGTGAAATGATGTTTTAAAGGGACAAAACACCATTTAGAGACTCTGATCTAAGCTGGTAGTTACATTGCCACCAGTTTCAAGGGAAACAGGACTGAGTCTAGCACAGATCTCATCATCTCATGAATGAATAGGAAAAAAATTAGTTTCTTTACTCATGCTGAAGTGTCTTGAATATTAAAAGAATTTATCTAATTGTTGTTACTTTGGAAACAAAAACCAAAAGAAACAAGTTCTTCCCTTGTTAGGTTAGTAAATCCATCATTCCAGCGAAATCTAAAAAAAAGACTACAGAAAAATGTATTCTTAAGTGGTACCTTAAAATACCATAGTGTCTCCTTAGGTAGTCCATAATTTACTTTCTCTTGTTGTTCAAATAACTGCATTGTGCAGAACCATAAAAATGTGGTAGCAGAAGGTGAATTCTCTGAAAATTGGCAGAATTGATTGATTAAGCACTTCAAAATCAATTTCCTAGCAATTTAATGATAGTGTTAATGCACAGCATCGTTTTTCATCTGTTCATGTTATTACATGTGGCAGAGGAGGAGAGAGACACCACTGTCAGTGCAAAAAGGGGAAGAGACGGGAGAGCAGAGAGGCGTGGGCGAGCCTGAGTCTGCCAGGAAAGCCATTTGCTTGGGGTCAGCCCCTTTTTGATGGCTGTGTTCCTACCATCTGCTCCAAACTCCCATACCTGGCAGCTGGAGAAATTCAGGGGCAGAAAGTGGGGAAACAGGTAGCACATCCAGATGCGATTGTCTCACAAGGGGGGTAAGCAGAACAGCTGCAGGAGGGGGAACCTGAGTTGTGACTGATGCCAGGCTTGGGCGAGGAAGGACAGAAGCCAATTCTGTGGGCAGCTCGTGCTGTCATCCCAGGACTTGCCACCAGCATGACCCAACATGTGTCATGCACCACCTGGCACTGGTGCGTGACCAGTAAACACTGCCCTGGCACTGGTGAGGGTGTCTGGGGGGAGGTGGGGGTCTCGAGCAGCTGCTTTGGCCATAGTGTTTGAACCAGCATCAGCAGAGGCTGCATCTCCAGCACTGGGTGCCTTGCAGAGATTCCTAAAGGTCACATTGCCAAAGCAGCCATGTAGTAACCTAAAAATCTCTTTATTTCAGAGAAATTATCCTGAGTCACATTGGTTTCTTTTTAAATCGAATAAAGCCTCTTAAATGACATGGATGTGTTTGAAAATATTACCCTGAACTCAGGGTAATATTGTATTTCCTATATTGTATTTCCTAAGTGGAATTTTTGTAGCTTGGTTCCTAAGCACAGATCTGCCCTAAAACATGCGTGTCTTGGTAGACAAACAATTTCATAATTAGAGGAAAAAGTAATGTGGTATTTCCAAGGCATCTCAACTTTTGGTGAAGCCCAACAGGAAAGGAACAAACAATTAAAATAGTTACATAATTTAAAAAAAAAAAAAAAAAGCATAAAAATGCTCCACTCTTAGAGTGTCTGGTTTGTACAGCATCACTTTGTGTTCTTTCCCTAGACTTCTGAGAAAAAAAAATTATAACAAATATAATGGAGCCTAGAGAAAGAGAGACATAGGAAGCAATAATGAAAAGAGTGTAAATTCTCTGCATAAGCAGGTTGAGCTATTTGCAAAAGCCCAGAGTGCACACACATACAAAATAAAAGAAAACCTAGATAGCTCCCAAGTAGAGTTTACTCTGCAGTTAAAGCTGAAATCTCCTTGATGTAAATGTCACGTCTGGTACCATAATGTTCCTGTTACACGTGTAACCACATTATTGCCCGTTCTGATGGGAAGAAATGAGGCAAAATGCAGTTGGACATCCAGTCCTTATACATGAAATGACCACTTCCTAGCTCCATGCTCCTGCAGTAATTGTGACATGGCCAGCGTTATTGAATTGCAAGGACAAAGCATCCACTGCACAAGTTCCACTACTTGCTGGTAGCAGCAGTGAGATTACAGCAGCCACAGGAAAGAAACTGAGAATAGAGACACTGGTGCTTGAGGGGTCTTTCACTGAAGGATACCAATCCACTAACTCTTATTTAAGTCAATGGCATGTAGTCATAGGAGAGGAGTGCAGACCTGGGGGATTAGCATGAAGACTAAAGAACACTTTTTGCAGTTAATACTTGCTTACTTGCTGGCCAAGTTTATGAGGAAAGATGCCTCAATCCCCCTCATGCACCACCCCCGAGCCAGTTCTCGGATACCAGTAGTTCATTTGTCAGCCTGGCACATACAGGGCTGCATAAATTCCTCACAAAAATGATGGTTAGATAGGCTCTGAGGGTCTATTTCACACTGGCACAGAAATCAGGCCTGAAAATCGCACTCACACATACACACAAAAGTCTAGAGAAACAGAGCATCTCCTGAACACCTAAGGTAAAGCACCAGTTTTGTAGCTTCACAAGGTAGGCATGACTTGATTAACTTTAAAGAAGTAGCTAAAAGAAAGTAACTTTCTAATTTCAGAGGAGAATGTATTCCTAATTCCCAGCTTTTGCCTGAGCAAGGTCTTCAGCCTGTCTGGCTGTCTCTGAAGGTGGGTGGCTGGGCTAAGAAGTGAGGGGAGAAGAAAGACATTGTATGCAAATACAAAATGAATGGCCATAACTAGGTTTTATATGTAACTCCTCAGCTGCTTGCAGTGCTACCCTGACTCTGTATGAGCTCTCTTAAGCGCTGTGTCTCTCTGCCTTACTCTTTCAAAGGATTTATTAGTGGCTCTGTTTCTGAGAGTAGGCATTTTCAGGACCACCTCCTCCAAATCTGAGACACAAAGGAAAGAACGAAATTGCTAGAGGAGCAATTGCTAGAAGAGAATCCAGCTCAGTAGGGACAGTAACCATTGAAAGAGGAAAAAAATATTTATCAGTGCAGTTATTCCAGTTATCATCTCAAAAGCCATTTGTGATTCCCTGCTGTCTTCTGTTCTTTTTACTGCAGTATCAATTTCCTTCATCCTGAGAACGTAAGCAGTATTTTTGGTAAAACAACATTTAAAGATCAGCAGCATATTGTAAAACATCTTAACATTAACTGGCTCTTTGTCCTCTTTGGTGGAGATTTCCCAGTCCTGCTGAAGTCAGTGAGCAGTTGTGATAGACCTGTCAGCTCTACTGTCCTGAGCAGCAAGAAACCTGGCTTCCAGCCTAGCCCTCCTTACCTGCTCAGAGACTTCTGTGGTTTCTGAACCTTAGGTCTTATTTCTGTTTGGGGAAAGCCCTGATTTTGAATGCAATAATTTGAAATGTTGCATCTCCTCCACTGTGGGCAGACTTCCATTGGATTAGGACCTCCTTATATTATTTTTGGCTTGTCCCAGTTGGTTAGTGGGAGTGCTGACCTGTGCTCTCGTGGCTGAAGAAGTTACAGCAGGCTGTTTGTTACTGCCACTCTGCCAGGGGTGCCTGCTGCTCCCGCAGGTTCAGGTGATAGGAAAGTGGGATTTCCCCCACCCACCCCCCCCAGGTTTAATTCACTCCAAAGTTGGACAATTTCAATCAAGCCACCTGTCCAAAACTGGCCTTTGAGGTTCATAGTCTCCCCTGCAAAGAGTTATTCCTGCCTGAGCTAGTCCTGTCTGAGGGAAAACCGGATCACACCAGGGGAACAGGGGACTTGTTGGAAAAGCTCATGAGCTGTGTTTGCTCTCATCCATTATGCACAGGCATGATTGGAGTAAGGAGTAATTCAGCCAACAACGAAGCAGTGGAAACGGATCTTAACTGATTGAGGAGCTGGGTACCTAGGAACCTGGGCTTTTAGTGAGTGTCAGTAAAGTTCAGTAGAAAGACATAAATGATAGGCTGCTCCTAATTTGAAGAAGAGTTAGTATACTCAAATGTTACTGTCCTCATGAGGGATAATGGTTGAGCCTTGCTCTGTTAAGTACTTGTAACATGATCTTTTGGCTTAATGTTGAAAGTAGATTGCCCTAGGATGTGCTTTTATGCTCCAATGTGATGCTGTGAAGGCTTATGATGGAAGGACATTCTCTCCTTACTCTGCTCAGGTCATGGGAAGTTGGAGATTTTGCCTGTCACCCCTAATTCTGATTTTTTTTTCCATTCTCTCCAAAGAGCAGCTGCAGGGAAATTATACAGTAGATGGAAAAAAAAAATAATGCATGCGTTTCTTTTCCAACCATTGACCTTGCAGCCTCTTAGAATCCAGCCATATCGTAGCTGAAGCCCCTGAGGCCACCAGGTCTGTGGGGAGGGAGATAACAGTTTCTGAAGAGCTGGCTCGATGCCTGGCCCTTCTAGAAAGTGACACACATGAAAAGGTGCCAACACAGGGAAAGGAAGGAGACTGTAGGTGTTTTATGAAGTGTGTGAAGAAGTGCAGTAGCTACGGATCAAGAAAGTTCACCAGCCCCAGAGGGACACACTGTGCATCAGAGAGGTCCTGAAACATTAATATACTGATGGAGAGGCTTATTTTGTTGCATACTGTGCATGTCTTATGAGTCCACAGCCTGAGATCCTTGTAAATCTTTTACAGCCCGGAATGAACAAGAGGAGCAGGAGGAAAAACGAGAGATAAAGCGAAGATTAACACGTAAGGTGAGAACCAACGTTGATCCTATTGTGACACTATGGTAACTTTCTCCCTACTGCACAGTTGTTTCCCTTTCTCCTTTTCCTCAGCACCATTTTCAAAAGTAGAGTGTGAATCAAGTCCTAAAAGAAATCTTTGAAAGAAATCGCTGATTTTTAGGGTGTAAGTCCATAGATACTGAAGGGAACTGCTTTGTGGGCTATTGCTGGTAACATTTTGAGACCAGACAAAAGAAGATCTAGTCTTGATAAATGGAGGAGCTTTGAACAGTGAAGGGTACAGAGTCTAGCATTTGCCTAATCCAGCTCCCTGTAAATGTAGTGGCTTCTTCAGCCATTACGAAGTGAGCAAAGTTAAAACAATGCTGATTGCATTTGAAAATTCCACTGGAAAAAAAAAAAAAAGGCAAAAAACTGGGAAATAAACTTTTTCTGGAAAGAGAGATTGTCACTTAGGGCATCTAAACTAAATAGAGACAAGCACTCGCAAAATGGTATATAGAGCAGAAAAGAATCTTGTATTCGCAGGGAAGGACAAACGAAACAGCATAGTTTGGCTTTGGTTTTCCTCTCATTTGAAAGTCATTTACTCTTAAAATGAAGAATACTGAAGAATACATTTCGGATACACACATTCAGTTTCACAGCTGGTGTAAATGTCTGCAGATGCCCCAATATAGACAGCCAAGAATCCATCCCGTTATTGCAGATAAACTTTATTTCTCCACTGACATATTTCCTATCTCCAGAGGTGGAGAAAGCCCCCTATAAGCTCACATGCCTGTGAGACAGCACCATCATCCCCTTCCTGTATATATTTAGGTGCCTTTGTCTTTTTGACCTATGTGATCGCAAGCTTTCATGGTATAAATAAGGACAAGGAAAGGGCTGTAAATCTACATGCAAAGGTTACATTCAGAGAGCTGGATTGTTTTCTTTCATTGTTAAAAATCTCACACCTTGTTCTCAGCTCACATAAATCAGCAGAATTCTCCATCACCAACACCAACAATTCTCTGCAGGAGCTAAAAATGCGGCCCAGAGATCTGTAGTATTATTTTTTAAACACTTAAATTCTGGACAGCAATGGCAGGGATGTTCTCGTGTCTCCTCATAGCGCTGCCTGAAAAAAAAAAGATCCTAACTGCATTGCAGATGTTTCATGGGACTCAAGCTCTGCGCAAAGACTAGAAATACCGTTTTACCAGGCTTTTGATTTCCCTGTACGTTGAAAGGTAAACACACACAGGAATCCAGTCCAAAGCTTTGTACCATTTGATGAAGAGCTGTAATAGATAACAAGCAAAGCTACCCATCCCCAATCTGCTGCCTAAGAAATGGAGGCTGGCTAACTCAGCCTGCGGTTCCCATCCTCCGCTATTTTGTAGGAAAGCTGCAAAGCACATGAATTGTCTGTTGCAGGTAGAGTCCACAGCTACTTGCTGTACTAAAACTCCCAGGCTGTTAGAGCATCGCAGCAGTGTCTGCTCCCTGAAACATCAGCAGCCTTCTATGAGATTTATTTCTCTGTCTTGGTTGCACTTTTATGTAGAAACAACAGTGACGGCAGCGTCAGTCCCAGCCCCTGGCAGTCTGCTCAATAATTTCATGCCCCCATTCCTGGTCACATTCCTTTTTAGCCTTTTTTGGCTTCTTCCCTCCTAAAGATTTTTTTCCCCAACGTTTGTGAGGATGGTAGCAGCATGCCTTAGTTAGCATTGTTCGATTTTGGTCATCTTTTTAAACTGTTGCAAATTGTTCTTGTGACACACTGTAATTTTAATGAAAGAACCACAGGCCCGGTCTAACAGCAAATTTTGTTCTCACCTACCAAACATACTGCTGTAAGAGCTCAGGAATCACTAGAGGAAAGAAGTGAACAAAGCAAGCGAGTGGATAGATAACAACTAGAAATGCCAACCACCTCGTGAATCCTGCAAAAATTGTTGTTATTCCCCAGCCCTGCCTTTCATGAGTGTGTCCCAGATGTGTCGTTGTGTCTACAACAGAGCAGCAGCCTCCTTCTGTCGATTTGTACTGAAGCCTTATTACCAAAGGATTTTAAACCTCAGATCAAGCAGAAGTTTAATTGCGCACGGCAAATGTTTTGCCCAGCAGACCTTTCTGTTTGCACCGAGATCTGATGCACACACATGCCTGCAGGGTAAATCCAACATAAGGAGAGCGTGCCACCTCACCTCCTTGTGACCACGTGTAGCTGGTAATAAGAAGGGAAGGGGGGGAGAGATTCTGCAGAAGACACTGAAAAGACTTTTGACCTTGCACTATAGAAATTGCTGCTGTCCCCACAATTTTTGGTGGCGTGATCCTAACGCCAAGGGAACAACCCACTCCATCCATTAAAAAGGCTGTTCTTAAAATTCCTTCAGCGCTGACATTTTGTTACAGCATTATGATGATAAGTTGTAACATGACATGCTGTAATAAGTAAGATTACCTTGCTAGGTCTAGATGCCTTATTAAAGTTGGCAATAAATATCCAGTTGAATTCATCATCCAGACAGGCAATTTCTAAAAAAAAAAAGGTAAAAAAATCAGGTGACCTATAGCGAGTTGCCCCTTTAAGCTCTTTTCATCCCCTCAGACTCATCTAACTCCAGATTAACTGGGGATAGGGAATAGGTGCCATCCAAAGGACAAAAAGGAGGTGAATGCTGCTTGATTCAGTTTCTCTTCTAGCTCGTGTCCCTCCTGCCCGATGAAGTAGAGGTGAAGCGTGTTTGCCTGTCACCTGAGATGCCCAGGGATGGGTTCTGCACATCCAGCCCCCTGATGCTCCCTCTCCCTGCCCCTTGGGGTCCACCGAGCAGCTTCGTTTGAGTGGAGGGACATGCAGATTAGGAGGGGTTTTCTCTGAGTGCTGATCTTTGCCCACAAGCCCGTTCCAGGAATATTCCGCTGCAGAGGCCCTCTGGGAGAAGTGTAGCAGGTGGGTCCCCTCCACGAGGAGATCTGGGCCCCCAGGAATTGCTACTAAGAATTTATCCTCTTTGAACCGTGGTGAATTTGGCTGAGCACCAAGGCAATTAACAGAAGCCTGAACTCCCCCTGAGGACTTCCACTACAGAGAGAGTCATAGCCTGGATTAACAGAACACATTACAAACCACTTGCAAAGAGGAATAAAACTCTCCTTTTCCTACCTTCTCTTGGCTCAAATAGCATCATGCTCCCCATTCCCAGAGCTGTTTGCTGCTTCCTATCCCCCACTGCCAATAGCTAATTTTTCCCAGAGGCCTAGCTCCAAAACTAAAGAATCTTGTAGCTGTAATAGCAACAACCAAAGTGATGAGGTATGGCTATTTCCTAAAATCCATGCAATAATCTGGAATCTTTGCTCCCATTAGATTCCTGCCCCGGTACAACTTAAACTCTCTGCTCACTGGAGAGCAAGCTGGTGCCTCACTAGGAAATGTCTTGCTGTTCAATCTTTTCTTTAATTGACCTCCACTGGCTTGCATCAGCACGGGCTGTTCAAAATAATGAACTCTTGAGAGAGGTGGGACTCATCAGACGGAGGTGAGAGGGAGGCAGTGGGGAAAAAAAAGGTCAGAGAAGAAAACAGGTTAGCGGCTAATTTGGATAAACTGCATTTATAGTCAGAGGGAAAGGTCTTCGGGGCATTTTCATTACACAGCCCTCCTGTGTCTTACCACAAAAGGTGGGGAGCAAAGGAGAGAGGGGACTGTATGTGCTGCTACTTAGGATCTGTAATTTTTCACCTTGGTTTCTTCAATAAATAACAATAACATTTTAATGAGGTAACAAAGCAGGCAACGATGAAGTGACAAGGCAATAAGCTTCATTGTGACTGAAGTGGAGCAAATTCAGCATTTCACATTTGACTAAATCCCAAGACCAGACTGGCCAGAGTATGTCCCCCTCCACTTTACCTGGTGGCAGCGCTTAGGTTTGCTTCATTTCCCCCGTGCCAAGAACAAAGGGGTTTGAGTTAAACCTTCCCTTCCAAATTGGTTTAGTGTCAAAGCTTGAAACGTGCCCATTTTTATCTCCAGTGATCCAGAATATGCAGAGGAAAACTTGATCTCCTGTGACAAGACATGGAAGGTTCTGTCCTCATTTACACAGTTTTTGCATTAATACAAATTTACTTTGAAGGGGATTTTCATCCTGGTTCCCAGTCAAATAACGAGGTAGTCGCCATAAAGTTGTCCTGCTCCCTCAGCTCTCAAATGTTCACAAATAGGTAAATAGAAATGTGTAAGCCCAGGAGGCACCCCCAGAAAAAGTCCAGACATACACATGCACATCCCTTCGACATTAACAGAAGTAACTAAAAAAGGGTCCAGCTCGGTGAGGAGGATCCCTTTGTTCCTGCGTGGAGCACCACTGCCTTGTGCACACGATTGCACTGTGACCTTGACCATGTCCTTTTACTGAAAGTTTCGAACATGCCCTGTTCTTTCTGCCTGTTAGAAGAAGCAGGGCTCGTTCTCAGGTGCTGCCCGAGAAGGATTGTGTAACATTAAGCAATTTTGACACAAGAAACTGCAGCTTACAGGTCATAAAAATAAACTCCAAGATGAGATCTCAGGTGAGCTGTCTCTTATCATGAACAGACATTGCCCTGATGCCTACAGTGGACCCACTTGCAGTCTGTTAGCAAAGCTGTTTTCCCAGCTATTTAAGAGTTAAGGGTGCTCTGGGTAGCCCAGACATACCGAAAGGGGCAGGGCAATTTGTGAACTGTTCAAATAATGTAGCTTAAAGTAATTGCTTTTAGAAAATCACTCAGTGTGGTTGTCCCTTTCTTCATTCAGTGTGGTGTGTCCCTTTCTTCATTCAGTGTGATCAGATCGGCACTTTGGTTTAACGTACTGAATATTTTGTGTGTGGTTATAGATGTAAATATATGCAGATTTATGCCTATACATGAACTATGTGGTATAAGTTGTGGATTTCAGGACTCTCTTTCATAGTCGGAGCACTGGCATGAGATTCGGTGCAGCTTTTTTCTGTTCATAGCTCTGCCCTGGGTGTCCTGGGTCACCTTGAGCTGGTTGCTTGGTCTCTGTGCTTCTCCTGCTCCGGCTGCTCTGTGGGGATGGACAGGCTGCCCACCACTCTGATGGGATGCATAAATACCTTAAATTGCACTAGTTGTAGGTTTCTGAAGCAAAGAAAGGACGTCTAAAACTAATACACAGTAATAGTTGTATGACTTCAGAGAAAGAGAAGGAGCAGCTTTTAGTCTTTGCGATGTTCGGGTGTCACCTAAGAATGAAAAATGCACATTAACACTAAAGTTTCATAATGTGCTTGTGCCCTTGACATTTTTTCTGGTATAACTCAGCACACTGTTCTTCACACCCAGGGGAGGATTGCAGTGTGTTCCAGTGCAGGGGTTGGTTGTACCCAATCTGTTTTTTGTGCATTTGCGAACGTGAGAACTTACCTCAGATTTGTCTCATTTCATCATGTGGCCCTTAACATTAACTGTCATTTCTTTGATTTTAACCCACACCCAGCACACTGAGGAAGCCACGTGAGCTGTTTGAGACCCAGTGCATTACTGAGGTAAATACCAGCAATGAGTTCACATTGCTGGCAAAAGTACCAGTGCTGCCTCTGTGGCTCTTGGTGGTCTTGGGCTCTTGATACCACGTAGACATCAGCCTGGCATGGCCATGCTTCGGTGTATCAACAGCCACCTGCCTTCTCCTTTGCACAGACTTACTAATCACTTAGATGAGCACAAACACGAAAGCCAGCTACTATCAAGAGCTGACAGAACCTGTGAAATAGAGTCAGTCATTTTGTGAGAGTCCTCTTCCAGCTTGGAAAGCTTATAGGAGTTCCTGCTTCCCTTGTAGCCGTTTAGAAACACAGAGTTTAACTCACAGGATTTTATATTTTGGTCATGTCATCATGATCTGTGTAATAAGACATTTTATTTTTTAAAAAAGCTCAATCCTAATCTAAAACAGCATCTAGGCTACATCCTAAAATGATAAAAGCTGAGAAATGTGTGGATAATATTAGTGATTCATTCTTAATTCATGCTGTTGTGAGAAAAGAAGCAGTTGATGTGAATAAAGATGGAGTCTCACCCTTATCTTTGACATTGAACAAGAGGGAATGGCTTCAAGCTGCAACACGGTAGATTTAGACTGGACATTAGGAAACTATTCTTCACAGAAGGAGTGGTCAGACACTGGAACAGGCTGCCCAGGGAGGTGGTTGAGTCACCATCCCTGAAGGTGTTTAAAAGTCGTTTAGATGTGGTGTTGGGGGATACGGTGTAGTGGAGAACTTTGTAGAGTAGGCTTGGTGGTTGGACTCGATGATCCCAAGGGTCTTTTCCAACCGGAATGATTCTATGATTTTGGGGTGTAGTCATAATACTATTTCAGCATAAAGATTCTCTATTCCTATAGCCAGGGCTTAGATTTTAAATAATCAGAAGCAAAATTCTGCTGTGCTGAGTAATAATGCATCAGCGCTAACAAACATGCAGCTCCTAGTGCTAGGGCTGCTAGAAAAAAACGACCAATTTGAAATCACATTCAAGATGGTTTGTAAGAGAGAGAGAAGCTTCACTCATAGCGTAACTGTGAGCTCCAAGCACAGTATAGAGGTTTGGTTTGCTTGCTTTTATTAAAACCTGTCTGTTAATGGCAGCGTGTATTGGGCTTGCAGGTGACTTAGAAGTAGGTTTCAGGGCTGCAGGCTGAAGAGGCATTTTTGTTCTGCTAGAGTGAAAAATAACATTTTTTAATGTATATGTGTTTCAATCTGCTTTATTGTGCCCTCTGGCTTTTCTGACATGGCACTCTAGCTCACAGATGGGTTTGTCCTGTTGTCTAAAAAAATAAAAGGTTATGCCTACGCATTTTGGTTTTTTAAAAAAGGGTCCCCAAAACTCGTAGTCTGAGCTCAGAAGGGCATGCTTCTTGCCAGCCTCACTGCCTACGTGCTCTTGGGCTGACCTGAGCATGGCTGGCCTGAACATGAGTACATGAAACGGGGCTTTTCTTGGAAAGCTTTTGGAATTGTGTGACAAACACACACAGAGTAGCTCGCCACAGGAAATTTCATGCCTCCTGTAGAAGAAGGTGGGTGTGAGAAAACTGTCTAGTTTTAAGATCTTTGCAATATTGAGAAGTTGTGAAGTTGTTCTTTTTCAAACCAGCAAGGAGTTTTTGCCTTATTAAATGCTGTAATTTACCCTAAAATGGCTATGGAGACAACACATAAACTGCCAAGCTGTGACCGGACTGGTGATGGCTGTCCTAGGCAAGGGCATTACATAGCAGTGTAGAGTTCTGCTCCTGGCTACACTTGTTTTTCTCAAGATTTCTCTTCCTTCAGCGTGTGCAAAATGACTGAGCTGCAGCCAGGAGGGGCAGAACCTGATTCCTGTCCCTGAGCATCTCACAGGCATTAGTGCACCTCTGCAGGCTCTCTGCGTGAGGGGTTTGAACCCAGTCCAGGAGGGTATGCTCAGGGCTGTCCATGCAGAGAGAGCAGCCCCACTGCCACCTCCCGTTGCAACCATCTCTTCTAAAAAGAGAAGGGGGAGGCAACTGTCCATGCCAAGAACAAGCACACAGGGATTTAAATACAGAGGCAGGATGGGGCGGTGGAGCTGTCTCGCATCAACACCCAAATGCTGGAAAAAGGTGGGATTTCAAGCATGTGCTTCTCTTTCTTGTGGTCTGGCAAATTTTTCACCCTCCACTTAGTATCCTGGATGTTTTGAATCTTAATTCTCCCTGGAAGATGAAATGCAGGGAACTGAGATACTTATTTTGGGAGGAAAGTGGAACTGTATGTCTGGATCCAGAAGCCTAAATACCTTTGTGGGATAGAGTCTTAAACATTTTATGAAATATTTAGTCCTTTCACTATTCACAAGGGTGAAGTGCTGCAACACACACCTATTTCTAACGAGTGGGAATAGCATAATACACTGTCTAGCTAATTGTTAGCAGGATATTATTTTTCACTCTAATGGTGAAACCTTTGCAGCTAATGTACAGCCACACGCACACACATACGTAGCACCTTTTTCAGGAGCACTTAATTGCTTGACATGAACCAGCATGCTGTCCATCCAAGGAGAAATGACCACTGAAAGTCAATTCCTGTCCCCTGTGACTGACAGTGCGATAGGTGGACTACCAGCACACTGTTTCTCATTTGAGAGGAGAGTTTTGGCTGTGGCTGCCTATTCTGCTGTGGGATTTGAAAGAAATTCTTGGGAACAGTGAAGATGTTTTCTTGATGTGATAGAGTCCACCCTTGCAATTTATTTTTTTTCTGGACTTGCAGTATGTAATGTAAATTTTTAAAAGTCAAATTCGCTGTGACACAAAATTCCCCTCAGCATACATTGAAGAGTTCAGTGTCCAATAATCATCATCTTGCCTGCCTTTTCTGGAGGTAAGGACAAGTCTGCAGAATATCAGAATGGTAAGGAAAGTCATTTGTCACCTTTTGCACCCAGGAGCCTCTGGGTGCCTTTGCCTGACTCTTCCCAGGCAGCGCAGAAGCACTCACAGCAGCTCAAGGCTGAGGGATGTACAGCCTGTGCTGATAGTCTTAAAGTGGTGTTGTGGTCCTTGTCTCTTCCTGAGACATTGGTGCACGAAGAGACTTCCTTGCATTACATCTCATTTCTGCCAGGGGTGATCAACCTCAGCCAAAGATTGAGTTCTCCAGCCACAGTTGCTTCCCAAACAACAGTGGGCTGCTCTGGCAGCAAGGTGGGGTGATGTTCAAGGTGCTATAACAAGAGGTTATCTCCCAAGTAGTAATTCTCTGAAAGGCTGATAAAAACAATGGTGCTGGGAATGTGTGAAGTCCTCATGTCTTTTTCTACTCCTCCCTCAAACCTGCAGCTGAGTCAAAGGCCCACGGTAGAAGAGCTACGTGAGAGGAAGATCCTCATCCGCTTCAGTGACTACGTAGAAGTGGCAGATGCGCAGGACTACGACAGGAGGGCAGACAAACCCTGGACACGTCTCACAGCCGCCGACAAAGTAAGTGGAACAACTTTGGGAGAGCCATGGTCTGAGTAGCTAGAGCGTGTCACAGCAAAGGGCATCCCTTGGGTCCCATGGGTCCCACGACCATCAGGGAATAAGCCTCCACCTGACGTCCCTTCCCAGCACACTTGTGGTTTCTCAAGGTTTGTTGTTTGAGTCATAAGTCTTTGGAAGAAGGTTCCTACATGTATGGAAAGCAGGAGCAAGGCTAGCAGCGTTAAACCACTGAAATAGAGAGGAGAGAACGTGAAGCCCTTTGAGGAAAGGTCTTGATAGCAACCCTGTTATTTGTTTCTTGGCTTTGGTCTTGCCACATAATTTCTGCCAGCTGAGAGCTACCCTGCAAGAGCTGGCAGAGCAGTGTGACGACAGCACTTCCCAGAATTGCGACGCCAGGACAGAGCAGGCCTGGGTGCAAAAATGGCAGCAAGTCACATAATTGGCAAAAGCACCTGCCACGGAAGCCAGGGAACTTCTTTATGGTGTGTTAGGACAGGGATATTTACTCAGGATTTCTGCCCCATTCCACAGGGTGTTTTAAGCACTGAACTGCAATGGCCTGAGCCCTGGGGATGAAGAAAAGCTGCGTGTTCGTTATTGAGTGTGCTGTCCTCTGAGCACCAGTGGGACCTTCACAAAGTGATGTCTCTGGGGGCAGCATTGGTGGCAGAGGCATTAAATTGCTGGCAAATTATAAGAGTCATATCCTGAAGGTCTTAATCGTGCTGCAGGAAGAAGACTTAAAAATTTTATGGCCACTGTAAGAGAAGGGGACTGCGAGGCTGATCAGTGACTCCCACGCTTTAGTCACTCTATGAGGTCCATGTAATTTTAAAGACTTTCGGGTACCCGACTATGTCTTTGCTGTGGGACTCAGGCAGCTGGAGACTACAATGTCAGGGGAGCAGGATTCCTGGCCATGCCACTTATTTATGATGCTCTTGGTTTTATTCACAGAGGAAAGGGCAGCCTGTTACACTTGTGTAATGTAACCAAAGGACTTGTATAGTTTTGTGATCGCTGGTTTTCTCCTTGACAGAGCTTTTTTTCAGATTAGCTTTGCATAAGTTAATGTAGCATAAACTGGTCTGAAAAAAAAAAAGAAAAACTTCCTCAGGACTATACACAGACCATGATATACTGGGTTAAATTAGCTTTTCCCATTTTACCTTCTTCACATTGGATAAGATCTTATTCAACTGACTTAGTTATATTCTCCCAATTGGTAGATGAGGGAGGCAATAAATCTCCAGCTGCTTCTGTACCCTTTGAGAGATCCCTGTCTGGGATGAAAGGCATGGAGAGACCCAGCTGGGGAAGGAGAAGATTTGGTGTCGAAAGAGGTCCTTCCTCATTCTGTGTCTGGGAAAAGAACAAGTATTCAGTACCACTATTAAATGTAGCCTGATAAAGAATTCAGTATTAAGGCCTCAGAGTACTTTGAGGTCAGTTTCTCATAATGAATATGCAAAGTCCATACACAGAGCAAAGGGCTTAAGTTCTCCAGGTGAACCTTTTCTAAGCAAAGCAGGAGTAGAAGAAATGTTTGTCATTCTAATATAAATGCCACTTACGGCATAAGGAAGCAGATACATTATTTGGGGGGTTTGGGTCAGATGGGCAGTGTTCTGATTTCTGCCATCAGATGACCTGCTTTTCCCCACCACTGTGTCCACTGTTGGAAAAAATAGCCAGACAAACTGGAAGCAACTCTAAAATGTCTGACAAAGCTGCAACATCCTATAGAAGATTATTTTCTTGCAGAGCTTTGATTCAATAACCATCTTCATTGGTCAGCACAGGCTAGATTTATTGCAAAAATAGGTTTTTAGTAATGGACTTTTCTGATGTCAGTAAACCTGGCTCTGTGTCCTGGGTGTCGGGAACTGCCTTCAGTCTGACCTCATCTTTACCAGGTCTGACTGTTAGAAGAATGAAAAGGGCACTTCTGAATCTCTCCAGCAGGTGAGGGGTGCAGGGGGGAATAGATTTGGGACCTCGTGGGAGTCAGCAGCCCACCTGGCCTCCTTCACAGGCCGTTCAGCAGCAAAGCACTCTGCTGAAGGTAGGCCCTTGAGTTGCTGCGTAGCCATGGCTCCATCCTGATAGACAGAGGCAGAGCCTGACAGACATTTCTAAGGTAAATAAAAACCCAAAGCTGTGCAGAAAGAGCACAAGGGGCCTTTTCTGTAGATCACTCTTGCAAAATCTATCACTTAGAGCTTGTCAAGGCAAAGGTAGTTGGTGACTGGATCAGTGGATGTTACAAAAAGCCCTGTTTTGGGCTCATGCTGTCCGTAGTGGTTTAGCTTTCCTTCATTGAGAAAAAAATTCCTGACAGACATGAGCAGCCCCTTGCAGCCACTGATGCTGATTTCAGCATCACAGTTCCAGGCAGTGGCACACACCTTGGACCATGGGAGCATTTGGCTGCAGCAGCCTCAGTGATCTTCTTCGTACCCTCACAATAAAACCCATTTGTGAGCTACAAATACCACAGGGCTGTCAGAAGTGACAACTTCAGGGCCTGGGACTTGAGCCAGTCCCACTGAGTGCCCTCTCCAACACAAAGCTGAGTTCCGCCAAGTCACCCCTTTTTACTTTTTTTGCTTTATTTTTGAATATTTCGCTTCCTGCCAGTCACCCCTGGTTTTCTTTTCTCTTGTGGACAAAACATAGAGGCTTTAGGCAACTGAGTCTCCTGTGAATGCTGAATACAACCACCTGTGGCTAGTTTTCTGCTGGATTGGGGTGTTGAATCGACTCAGTAAATGGCACAGCTGGGTCAGAAGGGCAGAGGAGCACAGCCCGGGGCAGAGAGGAGGGCAGGGAACCGGGCACCCTTCTTCCCCTTCCAAGTACATTCAAGGTCAGGTTGAACGGGGCTCTGAGCAACCTGACCTAGTTGAAGATGTCCCTCTCATCACAGGGGGAGGTTGGACTAGATGACCTTTAAACATCGCAGGGGGAGGTTGGACTAGATGACCTTTAAAGGTCCCTTCCAACCCAAACTATTCTGTGATTCTATTAAGTCAGCTCAGCTGCTTTAGGTAACTTCACCCAAGGAAATTCTGGACCTCATAAAGGTAGGAGACATCTCAAATACGAGTTTGGTGAGATCTGAGCAGACTTTACTCACAGTCTGGCTCTGAAAATGATCGCAGTGTTTGAGCAACTCTGGTGCATGTTCTTTTTCTCATGTTAATTTGGATTTTGTACATGAAAGTGTTTATATAATAAGCCAGGATCGGGTTCTGTATCTGCATTGTCTTTGATATGTTTTCAGATTGAGCCATTCCACCGAAGCATGTATCTCTTCCCTTATGTGATTTAGAACATGTTTATATCTGTTCCTTTTCACATTTTAAAGACTTTATTATGTTTTTCTTTCTCTCTCTGATAGTGTTATCTGCTTCACTTTTAATATACTGTTTTGAGAACAAAGTGAACTTATTTTGATCTCTCTCATTTATACATTTATGAGTTTATTTCTCCTTTGCAGGCAGCCATTCGAAAAGAGCTTAATGAATTTAAAAGCACTGAAATGGAAGTTCATGAATTAAGTAGGCATCTAACAAGGTAAGCTGAGATTAATTTTTTAAGAGTATCAATGAATACTGTTGTCAAAAAAAAAAAAAAAAAAATTTCTCCAACACCCACTGAACACACCGTGAGGTCTAAACAACATTTAGAATTACAGGCTGTAAAAGAAACTCGCAGAGAGGAACTCGTACTGCCTCGTTCCATGGCAGTATGCAGGCACGGGCCATCTGTTTAATATAGTGTAACCTCCTTTTATTTTACTTTTTTAAATCATCATGCTCTAGCCGCATGACTGTTCTTCTGGTGTCAAAAGCAAATAGTGTTGGTGTAGAGCAAACAGCATTGGTAGAGGCTGAATGAATTATATGTGACGCCCAACTACTCGGCCTGTGCCGAGGCTGCCCTGGCTTTGGTGCTGGGATGAGCTGAACTCCTGGCATTTCAGCTGAAGTCAGGCCTTTGCAAAGTGACATTAACCCACACTCGTTGTCAGACGTTAAAAATCAGTGTTAGGTATTGAAGACAAATGAGAGTGGGATCTGGTACAACGCTGGAGCTGTCCCTGCATTAATATGTTCATCAGCTGGGTGCTCATAAAAAATGCAGTTAATACTTTTAAGAAAAATACAGAAAAGCTTAAGGCAAAATTAATTTTGTATTAGGGGATTTTTATGTGTATAAATTAATAATCATATTAAAATTCACCACATGTATAATGCATATAGTCCCTTGCAGAAATGATCTCCTTTCTACTGCCTAGCATGTGCTGGGGTGGCAGCACTGGGGTTTTAAGGAGTGCTGCTAGAGATACGCCGGCTGCCTGTCAGCCAGGAGGGCTTTGGAGGAAGCTTTAGGGTGTCCAGGTGGCCTAGATCTGTTGACCCCAGTGACTGAGCCTTTGAGGGACATTTGGGTCACTCCTCCAGGAGGGTGGTGACAAATTTGGAAACGATGAGGCTTTTTTAAAGGGGGATGTTGCTACAAGGAATTGAGCTCCATCAAGAGCTCAGTATATGGTGAGGGGTCTGGAGCACAAGTCTTATGAGGAGAGGCTGAGGGAACTGGGGTTATTCAGCCTGGAGAAGAGGAGGCTGAGGGGAGACCTTATTGCTCCCTACAACTACCTGAAAGGAGGTGGGGGTCGGTCTCTTCTCCCAAGTCACAGGCGACAGGACAAGAGGAAATGGCCTCAAGTTGCGCCAGGGGAGGTTCAGGCTGGATATTAGGAAAATTTTTTTCACTGAAAGGGTTATCAGACATTGGAATGGGCTGCCCAGGGAGGTGGCTGAGGCACCATCCCTGGAGGTGTTCAAAAGACAGGTTGGTGTAGTGCTGGGAGGTATGGTTTAGTGATGGTGTTGCTTTTTGTTTGTTGTGTGGGTGTTTATTTTTGTCAAAATTAGGTTGATGGTTGGACAAGATGATCTTTAAGGTCCCTTCCAACCTAGAAGACTCTGTGATTCTATATTTCCACCAGACCTTTAGCATCCCACAAACATAGAGGCTGGTTTAGTTTTTCAGAAGTCTCTCCAGCTGCTTGCCTTTCACAGCTTTCTGGGCAGTATTTTGCTTCTCTTCCAGTGTTGGGGTGAGCAGTGACCCTCTGAGGTGACTCAGTTTGTATTTGAAAGCCACCAAGTGGCTTTGACTTGCCAAGTCTGGGCCTATACTCGGCTATAGCTAATGTAATAGAAATTGGGATGACGGTTTGTCCGAAGTTCAGTAGAACTTGCTGGTTAGACAAGTGGCCTCAGGAAATACGCACTTGAAGGAAGTGCGCTTCAACAAAATACAGTAATTCCCTTGAACAAACTTAGCTAAATCACCATTATAAAATCATTAGGAAGGTAATGAGCTATTCATGTCATTAAGCAGTGGCATGAGCTGAGCAAAGAATGTGAGTGTTGCTTTACCGGTGGGACACATTAATTCATGATAGAGTGGAAAATCAAAGCTTAAAAATAAAATATACCTCTGCAGAGCTGACAAACCCAGGCCTCCTGACACAGGGTGGGCTTGCAGGAGGAGTGGCCACTTTAGCTCCACTTGTCGCTGTAGCCTTGGACATTATGGAATAATCATACTTGAACTGTATGTCAGTCTTTCTGGGTGAAGAGCATAAGGTTTATCTAAACCACAGTTTTTGTGGAATCAGGCGTGGTGTGGTCTGAAAGAGGCCTGGCTGATCTGAAATAACTCAGAGATCTGATGGGATGGACCCAAAGTGTGTGAGTGCCTTTGGCAGATTTTGGTACAAACAGCTTACGCCTGTGATTCTGGCGAGGACCAAGGCAGTGTGTCTGCTCTGGGTCCACAGTGCCAGCATGGGCTGTGTCACTGTAGCAATTAATTCTCTGGGGTTTTTTTTAATGTACAATACGCACTTGAGACTATTATCTTACTATTTCTCTTTTTTTTTTTTCTTTTTTTCTTTTTTTTTTTTCTTTTTTTCTTTTTTTTTTTTCTTTTTTTCTTTTTTTTTTTTCTTTTTTTCTTTTTTTTTTTTCTTTTTTTCTTTTTTTTTTTTCTTTTTTTCTTTTTTTTTTTTCTTTTTTTCTTTTTTTTTTTTCTTTTTTTCTTTTTTTTTTTTCTTTTTTTCTTTTTTTTTTTTCTTTTTTTCTTTTTTTTTTTTCTTTTTTTCTTTTTTTTTTTTCTTTTTTTCTTTTTTTTTTTTCTTTTTTTCTTTTTTTTTTTTCTTTTTTTCTTTTTTTTTTTTCTTTTTTTCTTTTTTTTTTTTCTTTTTTTCTTTTTTTTTTTTCTTTTTTTCTTTTTTTTTTTTCTTTTTTTCTTTTTTTTTTTTCTTTTTTTCTTTTTTTTTTTTCTTTTTTTCTTTTTTTTTTTACCTTTGCATTTAGGTTTCATAGACCGTAGCAGTTCAACTCTACCTGACTACTATGCCGTCTTCACAACTAAAAGGAACCATAAGTGCTGGTATTATTCACTTCCCTGTTACGTACAATGTAAATCTTCTGAACTGCCTTTTTAAAAAAAAAAAAAAGAAAAAGAAAAAAAGTAGAAAAATAAATATTAAAAAAAGGAAAATTGTATTTACATGTGATGGGTACTGCAGCATCATCAGACCTGCTGGTTCAAGCTTCAATAACAGAAAATACCCCTGGTGGGAACCGTGCCAAGACTTGGCATCTATGTATAAGACTTTCCTGGCATGTGGATGTGCCATACCTGTTCAAGCCCAGCTGGTGGTGCATCCATTTCGTCTTCGGGCGCCCCTCATCCTGACAAGCCTCTGTCATCAACTCTAGCGACCCCTGAGATGGTGTTCAGGGAATCACTGGCCTGGGTGATGTCTCCAAAAGACCAGCACCTACGGCACTAAAGCACTTATACCAAACACTCCTTTCAGGCTGCGAGCACCTTAGGAGGACGGTGAAGGATCAACACTCCTCTACGGGCCACCCCATCTGTGAATACCATCTGACTAGAAATGCATTTCTTTCCCTGGAGAAATTTATGGCCAGTCGATAGGCATCGTTCAGCTCCCAAGAAGAAAAAGGCATCGCCTGTAAAGAACCTGGACTCCCTCCTGAAGGCTGGTTGAGTTCTTGCAACTGTTTATTTTTCATCTCCTTCAAGTATAATTTTCTAAACCCAGCTGTGAACCCATCAGCAGTAAGCGACAAGAATGCTGAGGACAAGCAAGCAAACCCCATCTCTTCATGGTCACTGCATGGCATTCGCTCAGCTTGTAGATTGTTTTTACGCCCAAGCCTCGTGATCGTGTGAGAGCCGACGCGTGCCCGGCCCCAAGAAAGGCTGGCATTCCCACCCGCTCCGCAGGGGACAGGAGGAACTGGGGGGTCAATGGGGGGTATCTGTCCTCTCTGCATCAGGTGTTTCAAGAACTGATCCTAACCTCGCACTGAGAAACACGTGACAGATTGTGGTACCCGGCCTGACAACAGGAGTCTGGTGCACTGCTATGAATGGTGGGACTTGTCACCTGTACCCACGGCTGAGGCCCAAGGACAGCAATTCAAAGGTGTTCTGTTTTGGTTTTAATTTATTTTTATTATAGTAGTTTAACACACAAACTGACCGAGTAGAGCTCAGAGAGCTGGTCGCTCTGGGCCTGGTTTACCTGCCAACTTAAGTGTGTGCTTAACACTAAGTGAGCATGCAAAGAGCCTCACTGCATTCAGGAAGATGTCTGACAGGCTTAATTGAAGCTGGACACATGTAAGTGCTTTTCTGAACTTTGGCCAGCACCTCCCAGAATCAAGCCCTTAACTAGCGTAACGCCAGCAAGCTGGGGCAAACATTGTCTAGGATTCCTTTCCAGCTCTTACAAGGAACTGTTATGCCATGTTTTGGGCCGCTGGCCCAAAGCACTGTAGCAACATCACTGGTAAGAAGTTCCAGATTATTACTTCAGGACACCCTTTTTCTTCCACAACAGCTATTTTGCTTTGACAGTTTGAACAGAGAGGCCAAAGTTTTTTACTACAATGTTGTTATTTCTGTTATTATTATTTTTTTCCTTTCTCACTGTCTTCCGTGTATCTATCCACTCTTCTCATGCTCCCTCTCTACCTCCCCCCATGCCGTGCTAACATTGCCCTTTACCAATCAGGGGCTGAGAAGCCTCTCTCACCTGAGCACTTAGTGGCCAACGCTGTGTAGTGCCAACACTTCTGCCTCTTCTCAGGCCTTCTTCTCATTCCCCTGGTGGCAGGAGTAAAGCGAAGGCACCTGCATGTAGCCCATGGAGTTGCTCTAGCTTCCAGCCTGCCCAGATGACACCGGCACTCCGTTCTGCTTCGCAGCGGTACTCGGTACCTCACAGGTTTGCTCTCCATCAGAGACAAGGGACAGCATTTCATTCTCATCTGTGGCCATTCTTGCAGTGCTATGGGGTATCAGCTACTGAACAACAATTGGCTGCTATAGGATGGAAGATGCTACAAAGGAAAGTAAAAACCAGCTGGTTTTTGGTACCTCGTTTTTGAGACAGCCTGTCCTTGACGTGGGACGCTTCCCAGGTGAGGTAATGATTGCTGATGAAACACACACAAGGTGATCCATGTATCACCAGCTCACAGTTGCTTTAGCTACAAGTTCATCAGCAGTGGTAGCCTTTAATGTGCCATATTATTAGCTCAGTGCAGCAAAGACAGAGCACGTAAGTACTGGCCAGGAATACGCTGCCAGGGGGGTTCATGTTTTTGGATTCACTGACTTACCCATGCACCCATAGCAAGACTGCCCACAGCTTTAAAAAGGGAAAACAAAATTAGGCTTTTGACTACACACACATTGCATTAGGGAAGGGCTCTGCAACATAGCTGTTTTGAAGGGCAACAAGCCCTCACATTCCCAGTATGGATCCCATGCCTCCCCTGCCAGCGTTAGCTTAGAGGTTCAGCCTGAAAGGGAAAGGAGGCCATTTAAGGACCAGCCGTGACAGAAACCACAGAACTTAGTAAGCTGCTGGGAAGAAAAGGTGAGATACTTTTTTTTTCCATTTTATGATTAAAACGAAGAGGAAAGAGGTAGAAGTAGCAGACTGCTGCTGTCAGTCTGTTGTCGGTGCTACAGTGCCCAGGGGAACAGGCAGTCTGTGGGCAAAGTCACTCTGGGTACTGCCACTGAGCCCAGCAGTGCCCGCGCCTGGCAGGCTGGGAGCCCAAATAAAGCCCTGGGCAGCAGCTGAGCCTACTCCTGGGTGATGGCCAGACCCTCCCCAGCACCCTGCCTTCCTCTGGGTGGGCCCAAGGCAGGTCCCTGCCAACCTCTTACCAAGTTGTCACCTCTGCCTGCCTCAGGATTCAGGCTGTCCCCAGGGCAGCTACACGTGGCAATGCTTTTTTCTTTTTTAATGATGTTAACTCCTGGCTGAGCAGACACCAGGACACAGTGGAAGAACTGCCATATTTCTCCCGAATTGCAAGGAGAGCTTGTTACTGGAGAGGGAGGAAGAGGAGGAGAAAGAAGCCATATAAAGTGTTTGGCACTGGAGCAAGCATCACGGAACTGGCACTTCATCTGGTTTTAGTTTCAGTTGATCTGGGTATTTTGCAAAGTGACCCTTTGGCGAGGCATTCTTCAACAACCTGTCAGTGCCTGAACACTGCAGCGCGTCCTCAGTTTGCACACCCACCTCTCACATCCATAGGAAAGCTGCAAGCAGACTGGGGAACAGTTAGTCCTTTTTTTTATTTTTTTAAATCTGTTTTTCTTCTTATCTGTGAAAGCCATCTCTACCGCAGTAAAGTAGTTGTGATTCTGTTGAGGGTGAAAAAAATAAGAGTCATGATTTCCCCCCCTTCAACCTGGATTACATATAGGATGTAAAGGTGATAAAATTTCTGCTAAGACTCGGTTAATACCACAGTTACCACCACCCGGTCACATTAGGGGGAGATTAATAGTAGTAATAAAGAAATTGCATCAGGTTTAGATAATGGAAAACTCAACTAAGAGCAAAAATGGCTATTCCAATCATCCATCTCCAGGGCTGATAATGGAGATAATACTCTCGACTCAAGGAAGAAAAACATTTTGGTTATAATCCACTGAATGCTGATGGGTTATTCATACTTAAAATGTACCAGTATTGTGACATCTGACAGCCTGTGGAAAGATGACATGGACAATGGGGGGGCTGGGGATTAGAAAAGCAACTCCAAAACGTCTAGACAAGTTTTGATTGAGAAAAAAAAAAAAAAAAAAAAAAAAAAAGTAATGGGAGAAAAATGTAAAAAATTATCTTAGTTCTCCTTTTAAGAAACATTCGCGTGATGTCTTCTATTTTCTGGGTACTGTTTATAATTATTTCTTGCATTGATGCAGGCCTGCTGCTGTGCATCCCGCCAGCCCTTTAACTGCTAAAAAAAAAAAAAAAAAAAAAAGAAGTGATGGTGAGGAAACAGTGGTGACCTGGCCCTCCCACCCACACCCTCACCAGCCACGGGCCTTCAGAAAAGAAGGAAGGGGGGGGGGGGGAAAGAA